AGGCTCAGAATTTTAGTTTGAGGTCATCGAGTCATTTTTTGGAGCTGCTGTACTGTGCCAGAGGGGAGCCTTGGACATAAGTGAGGATGGCATTCTGTAGATATGTCGCTCTTTGGGCTTCATCGTCCCTCATCCTCTTGATCTCTGCCTCTTTAAGTCGGAGCTTCTCCAGCAGAGAAGACATCTCGCTGTCTTTGTCGAGCAGCGCCTCTCGGTGGTTACTACTCAGTACTGCAATGACCACAGTAAACCACAAAGAAAACATCTTTTAGAAACCGATCAATAACTACCTTTCAGACAGGATGAATTTTGAGTCTACGGCATTTATATGATTCAATTCAGAATTTACATTTTAATCAAATGACTGCATTTGCTTGATCTTGAACGTTCTTGTGCTTTTTGGGATGTCAGAGATTAAATATGATCACGTATTATTATTGCAATTGTTGAAGATTTATGTTACAGTGAATGAAAAAGGCTACCATATACAATCATGAAAAAGAAAGTAATCCAAGAAGCAAAGACTCTTCCAAGTTTCGGCCAATAGAAACTAGTTAATTTTTCAAATATAATCAATTGTGTGGATTGTCACGAAACTTCACCGTATGCTTGAAGTTAGAAAGAAGACCACAAGAGGCACCTTTAATCTCTCGCTCAAGGGCATTGATCTTCTCTTTCATTCCTCCTTGTGCGATCCTCTCGGCCTCCAAGTGTCCAATCTGCTCCTGTAGCTCCAACCTGACTCGACTCACCTCAGTCACCTTTTCTTGGTCCTTGCCGGAAAGTTCCTGCAAGTGTACAACACATTTAAGATGCTATTTTTTATGATTTCAAATTGATTTAGTGCTTTGGCTGTTGCCAGGCATGGCTTCCGGTTAATTTATGGTTTTGTTATCTCTTGGCTCTGGTTTGATTCTTGAACAAATTGTTGTTTTATTTCCCGGTGTCTTGTGTATGTGCCTTCCTTATTTGTTGAATGCAGTTTTGACAAATTCGCTAAATTTTGCAAATATTTGGATGACATGACAGTTTTGGTGAAGGAATT